AAACAGAGAAGCAAAGTGTCAGAATTTTTTTATTTTTATTTTCATGTCTTTACAAACAATATTTAAAACTTTCCCAGAAAACATTGATACAATAGTGAGCATTTCATTAGCCCTCACACGTATCAGCCCTGTTTATATGGCAAGGCAGACATGAACTGATTTAATTGCCACAGTAGCTCTTTCCTGTTGTAGCATTATGACAACCCAGTTGGGGGATAACAAACTGAAACAGAGAAAGGTTCATTTGCATTCCCAGATCACACACCATGTAAATAATTGCACTGGTATTGGAACCCAGGAGTCCGACCTTAGACTGTCTGCTTCTCCACACTGCATCTCACAGCCTCTCGACTGAGTGCTTTATTCGTGTAAAGCTGTGGTTTCTACGATTTTGTCACTTTGCAGACAAGAAACCCAAGGCAAAGGGAGGTTAGATGACTTGGAAAGAGATCTTAGTGCAGCTCCACACCTCTGCTGGAGACAGTGATGGTATTCTAAAGCCTGAGGTTGACGCCCTCCGGTGTGGTTTCCAGTGGAGCCCCTGTGGAAGGAGGGGGCTAGAAGTTAGGTGATTGGGTCTCCTTCCTTTCCCATGAAACCGTCCTCAGTTAAGATTCTCCAGATCCACAGATAGAGGACAGACAGAGGCAAGACACCATTGTCCCCTCTGTCCTCTATGACAATGAATGTGATTTATTTCTGCTGCTCTAATATATCACCATGGTCTGCGAAGCATCGGACTCGGGGAGAGTTTGTTTGGTTTTATTCTGATCTCATTAACTCTCGACAAGGATAAAGTGGGTCTGTGAAACTGCTGAGATCCAGGTTCTGGTCTTCGAATGCAAGCAGTATCCGCTGGTCCTCTGGGGCTCATAAAACTGAACAAATGCATTTGACTTGTGGCTTTAAATATCAAAGTTGGCACTAGAATAACTGAACACACACACACAACATACACACACAGAGTGATTCTGGAATTTCAGTCCGAGTCCTTTTGTGTTTTTGGTGCCTTTGTGTGGTTCAGGTTCATGTATGTTCACAGCAATTTGGGGAGTAATTATCCAGCCTGACCTACAAATGAGGAAAAATCATCTTTGGAAGCTTCGGTGAGTTAAGGCACCCTTCAAGTAGTATCGGAACACAAATTGCCTCTCCTGGAGCTGAGATCAAGCCCTGAGTGACACTCCCTGAGTTCACTTTTGTACGTTGGTTTGGTTTGGTTTGTTTTATATTCGCTATATAGTGTCAGACTTCACCCAGACAATTCTTTTAAGTATAGTACG